CAATAAAAGTATGCCCTGTCCCTAGGGAAAAAAAAAAAAGAAACACTCCCAAAGGCCGCCCAGCTGGGACACGGCACAGCCTGCTTGGGACTCCACGCAACAGCCTGTCTGCTTCCAGGGAGCCGGAGTGGCGGTATGATTGTGAGCCGGTCCACCCTGCAGGTGACCCGCTCATTTCCAACAGCTAACGCAGGGAACTCGCCGCCTTCAGGAAAACAAAGCAACATGTCTCACTATCCACAATGGACATTGGCAGAGAATACCTTCAGACCTCTCCATCTTCCCCCTGCCTAGGGAGATAGACAGACAGCCTGCTCGATCTGCCCTCATGAAGTGGAAGTCATTCAGTCCCACTTAGGTCTCAGGGCCCGGTGACCAGAGAAACAGCATGGATGTGGCAGCAAGTACCCCGAACACGGTGAGTTACAAGCTTAAATATTAGCTAAGCACCGGCATGACTGCTCTGAGGTGAACTTTCAAATCTCAAAGGCTCCTCCTGAGAGCACCGACCAGACGCTGGGAACTGGACCAGCAGGGCAGACCACTGCCTGCAGCCCCAGGCAAGGGCCTCCCCAAGAACAGACAAGCTTACAAACCCGGGAGTTATTTTCCCAGGACTAGAATCCACCCAGCCAGCGCTGCCTTGGAAGAAAGGCCTGCCAATGTGCTTCTGAAAAATGACCCCTCGGAAACCCGAAAGGGCACAGTTCTGCCCTGACACTCAGGGGGATCCCCAGGAATCAGCACCAGCTCGCCAGCAACTCAGGGAGGGTGTGGCACAAATGGAGTGACCGCTTCCTCCCTCCCTCTGCACCTCTAAATTGGGCAAGCTTCATCCGTCCCACCCAAGTTGTCCCAGCTCAGACGTCCCATCTCAGCTGTCCCACCCAAGTTGTCCCAGCTCAGACGTCCCATCTCAGATGTCCCACCCAAGTTGGCCGAGTTCAGACGTCCCAGATGCGGCGTGACCGGCAAGGATTTTCTGCCACCTGAACGATCTTGAAATCCCTATGGGAATGTTCTTGCCAACCGCTCGGTGTCCAGCCCATCCAGAAAAGTCAAAGGCACACCACCATCAACGGCCTGACTTTGGATAAGGGCTGTTTTCAGAGTACGGTTGGACTCAGGTGTCACTGTGCGCACAGGACCCAGTAGAGTGATGGTGGTGAGAGAGCTGGATTCAATCACAATTCTTCTACAGCTTCCTGGGAAAGCCAACACCTTCGGACCATGACAGCACCACAGGCACAGCTTCTACAGGATGACCTTCCTACCAAGCTCTTCCAAGGGCCCACTATTCGTAAAGCATCATAGGCATACGCTATGAACTGAATAGTGTGTGTGCCCCCTCCTCCCCAGAATATATGTTATAAATCCCAACCTCCATGGCTGTGGCCATGGCATCTAGCAACAGGGTGTTTTGGTTACACGAATTAGGTGGAACTAGTGCAGGGTGTACACTGAGTCAATCTCCTTTCAGCTATAAAAGATATTAAACCTGTGAGCATCGGTGGGACAACATACATGTCAAGGCACATGGGAATCTCCGCGGAAGGAAGCAACAGTTTAAGAGACGAGGTCCTGCTAGAGTCAAGAGAGAAAGTCTTCCTCTACAGCCAGCCCCTGAATTCAGGCTTTTAGCCTACCAAATGGAGCCCTGATGGTGCAGTGGGTTGGGCTGCTAGCCACAAGGTCAGCAGTTCGAAACTACCAGCCGCTCTGCAGGAAAAAGAGGAGGCTTTCTGCTTCCATAAAGAGTTTCCGTCTTGGCACTCACAGGGGCAGTTCTACCCTGTCCTACAGGGTCACTGTGGGTCAGAATCAACGAGATGGCAGTGAGTGAGTGATCCTCCTGAACTGAGAGAAAGAAAGCACCTGGATGTTAAAACTACCTGCTTGGTCAAGGTCACCTAAGACAGAACCGCAGCGTATTTTATTTTCAATCTCAGAAACCTGGTCCTACCTTCGATGACCCTACAAACAGATGAGAGAGCTAACATGTGCCCCCAGATGCCTGTGGCACCTCTCGGAGTGTGAGAGGTAGCACGGGGCAGTGTCTCTGATACAGAGAAGTCACTGCTTGCACAGCTTACACTGGTCTAGTACCCCAGCGTCACCTCGGACTCAGTCAGTGACTCCACGGAAACAAAGCCCTGGCGATGTGCCTCCCTAAAGATCACCCACGAAGAGCCGAACGCGGCCAGTCTATTCTGCAATGTGTGAGGTCACGGAGAGTCACAATCGATTCCACAGCAATGGGTTTCTACTGCTTTGTGTTGTCATGAGGGAAACTCCAAGACAGGGTGGCTTTAAAACACAGAAATGTATGCTCTCACAGTTCAGGAGGAGATCAGAAGTCCAAATGCAGGGCAGGTTCTAGGAGGAGGTCCTTCCTGGTTTCCTTTAACTTGCAGTAGCTGCCAGCACTCCCAGGCCTGCAGATGCTTCCCTCTCCGTCAGAGTCTTCCTCGTCCCCCGTGTGTGTCTCTGGGTCTATTCTGCTCTTTTTAGAACCGAGAAGTGATGAGGTTTAGAACCCACCCTACTCTGGCAGGAGCTCATTAATAAAATAAAAACATTTTTAGACACCACAATTCCAAACAGAATCACATCAACAGGTACAGGAGGTGGGCAGAACTGTGATACATACTTTGGGGGAGACACAATTTAATCTGTAGCAGATTTAATCCTGAGCAGAGGTAAGAGAAATCAGGACAGGTACTCCAATAGAACAAGGCCATCGGAGGCACCAACACTGACCCAAGGTACCCAAACAAGCCCACTCAGAGGGCACTCAGGGCACACAGAACTCCTCTCGGCTGGGCCAGTTGAGAGAAACGTACAGCATGTGGACTGAGGATGGAAGGTAGAATTACTCTTCAGGTCATAGGAAAACAATCAGGGTTTCCTAAGCAAGGCCAGGGGTGATTAGAGTTAGTTCGAAGACATTTAGAGTTGAGTGTGGTGGTGAGGAAGTGGGGCAGGGCTTGGACAACATGGAGCAAATTAGAACGATGGGGGTGGCGTGGTTCGGTGGTAGAATTCTGGCCTCGCACACGAGACCTGGATTGATGCCCGAGGGATGCAGCACCTCACGGGAGGCCACCACTTGTAAGTCGGATGAGGAGTGTATGGAGCTGTGAGGCTGAGCAGGTATCAGTGGAGCTTTGACGAAGACGGACTGAGAAGAAAGGCCTGGCAATCCACTTCCAAAAATCAGTCCACGAAAACCCTGGAGATCACAGTGCTTCAACGCAAAACCTCTCCTGGGGGTGGCATGAACACCAGGCAATGTTCTGTTCCATTGTTTGTGGGGTTCACCATAGACGGTGGGGTGCTGACTCAATAAGCTAATGATGACAAGAGCAAAACCAGACTGTGGCAAAGGGACCGGTCAGTCCAAACGCACGGCCACTGAGTCCATTTGAACTCATCGTGGCCCCAGAGGACAAAACAGAATTGCCCTTTGGGGTTTCTGAGGCCTTGTCTTTCTTTTGTAGCGCGGTTGCTGGACTTGAATTGCTAACCTTGCAGTTAGCCACCTAACATGTGAGCTGCCCTACCACCAGGGTCCCTGGCCGGGAAATAAAGACAACTCACTTCCATCAAGTGATGCCGACTCCTGGCGACCCTTTAAGGCAGCGTAGAACTGCCCCTCCCTGTGGGTTTCTGAAACTAGTGGTTTCGAACTGCTGGCCTTGCGGATCACAGCCCAAGGCATAAGCACTGTGCCACCCGGGCTCCTTCAACCGGTAAATAGAGAGAGACAACAGTAAAGCAAAGCCTAGACCTCTACGAATTGAAAACAAGGCTTCAAGCAAATACGTACCCATGTATCACTGCAAATGCCCCAAAGGCAGGCGTGTCTGTCGACTGTGGAATAAATAAATAAAATGTGTGAAGCCCCTACGATGTGTGTGAAGTTCAAAATCACGTTAAGCCAAGAAAGCCAGACACAGCAGAGTGCATACTGTCTGACTCCATTTATACGCCACTTCCAGAACAGCTGAGGTCCACAGAGGCAAAAAGCAGGTCTCCCGGAGCTGGGGGGAGGGGCGGGAGCTGGGGGGAGGGGCTGGGGCTGGGGTGAGGGAGGAGGGAATGACTGTGTAACAGATTCAGGTTTCACTTGGGTGATGGAAACGGTTCCAGATCAAGCAGTGGTGGCTGGTGTGCAACACTGAAAACAAACCAGCCAACCAAAATAAACCCTAACTCACTGGCATCCAGTTGATGCCGACTCACAGCGACCTCACAGGGCACAGGAGAACTGTGACTGTGAGACTGTAAACGGGTGACAGGAGTAGAAAGCCCAGTCTTTTTCCTGCCCAACAGTGTGACAATATTAAATGCCAGTGAATCAATTGTTCGCTTTAAAAAGGCTGATGGCGGCATCGCTTCTCGGCCTTTTGGCGAAGAGCAAGTGTAGAAAAAGGCTGATGGCGTTCTGTGCACTTCACCTCACAGAAGCTGCAAACCAGCAGCAGGGGCTGGGGCAGACCCAAGAGTTTTCGATGGTACCTAGACTCAGCACGGGGGAGGTAGAAGGGTTGGTGTTTTCGATGGTACCTAGACTCAGAACGGGGGAGGTAGAAGGGTTGGTGGCTGAGCCAACGCCTTCTGTGAGGAAGGTGAAATCGCGAGATGCAAGTAGAGGTAGCTCGGCAAGAAAGCAAAGTCACCTTGACTTCTAAAGCAATCTGCTCGGCCGCCCCAGTACAGAGCCAGCTCTTCCTTCTCTGTGCCCACACCCCT